ACTTTCATATTCCACTCGTCTAGTTAGGAAAGGGAATATTATCACCTTACATATGAAAGGGAATTATAAATTATAATGACAATATTGAACTCAAATATGAAAGGGAATTATAAATTTGGATTCAATATTAGAACTTTCATATTTGAGGTGATAAGCTATATATTTAAATTTTACAAAAATGACTATAAAAGTTATGTCGAGCATAATAATAATAATAATAATAATTTTTAAAATCATCGAAAGTAAATTGATAAATAAACAAATTGATATTATATACCATTTATGCCAACTTATTTCAAACCACTTTATTGTGATATCAAGGATATGATAGAATATACTGTCACCATAGCAATCCTAATAAATAACTTGGTGGGGTATCATTAAATATGAATATTTATCATTTTATACTAAACAAATTTGAATATTTTTATGGCACATGCATTTTATTAAACAAATATATTTAAGCTATGGGGTAAATATACTTAACTATAAAACATACAATATTCATGCTCTAAATTTTAATACACACAATAACTTTATGCTATATACCGAACACCTTTAAATCATCCATGGAAAGAGCAAGAAAGCGGATGTTGATGTTGGGAGTAACGCGTTATCTGATACTGGGAGATATCCTTTGACTCTGCTGACGTGGATTAGTGGCCACATCAGCTGCCAACAAAGGGTGATTGCTGACCTTTTAGCCAGTTTGTGAGACATTGCGCACATGAACAATTAAAAAAGTTAAGCCATGCACCATTGGCACCATAATCTTCAACTTTTGGGTTCCACTCACAGCAAAATAATATCACCTTTTCAGGAGAATGATACATTTTGTAATAAAGAGAATATTATATACAGAGTCCGCCAGAATATGAATTCATGTACAATAATATTGTACATATTATACTACACCTCTTTAGAAATTTTTATTTTGAAACCAATGGGATTTATAGAAGGTAATAGCCATAAAGAAGTCGCTTTCATTCTTTCAAGGAAAAGGTTTATAATACTCCCAAAAGTGGGATGATTTATATATGATAGCTATCCTATATATAGGTGCATTGTAATGTGCAGCTGCTTTATAAAATAAAATCACAAAATCATGATCCATGCTGTCATATTGATCAAACATGAGAAAAATTATATAAAGAAAGCTTAATATATATTTATATATATAGTCCAACCGTTCAAGTAATTCTAACAAAGAATATTATAATCTGGTTACACCTAAACAGTAGTCATGATTATAGAATGAACAATGAGAAAGTAGAAAACTGTCAATACGTGTTTATCTAAACTCTCCTAATTCGTTTTCAACATATTCTGCCGAACGAAAATGTTCACATCATTGCAAGAGAGGTCATGAACACGACTAACCATTGCAGGATATTCATGGCATGATAATCTGAAAATCATAAACAAGGGAATATAAACATGTTAATTATCAGGAAAAAAAAAACGATAAATTTTGGTGATTATTATAAAAAATATTCATGTAAATCCCTCACCGCCTGCAGATGAATCTCCATTATCAGAAAGACTTGGCTGCGAAGACGGCGCCGATGAAGAATTTGATAGACCGATCCCAAGGTTCGAACAGTCTGCACCAATGGAACCTGTGTAGTTCAAAGATAAAATACCTATACTTAAAAAAAAAAAAAAAAAGGAGTTTTTACAACACTTTATACAAACAATCATTATAAGAAAATCCTGTTTTTTAGTAGCTACGTTTAAAAATGTTATCAAATGATTTATGTATAGTGATAAATAGTGTGACAGGGGAAGAGATGAAATGCGTACAATCCTTGTAACAGGGGAAGCTGGAGACATTGAGAAGGTTACTGTAGCCTTTCTTGCACTCACAACTGTGCTCAAACGTTGAGCTCCGAACACATTCTCCACCACCACAAAAACTCCACGCGCAGGCTTTAAAAAATGAAGATAAATCTTAAGAACAACAGAGTAATGAGGTTTTCATAATCTTATTTATATTATGGTGAAATATGAACTCAACGATCGAAGAGGGTGAAGTTGTGTGGAGGAGCTGGAAATGGTGCAGGTGCAGGAGGAGCAGAAACTTTTGAGCAGGAGTAATTTATGCTACCTGAATAACAAATTAAGATTAGTTATTCAGTCAGGTGAAAAAAATCAATGTACATATGGAATTAGATGAACAAACATTAGCTCACTCACAGTTGGGTATAAGGCAAGGGAGGAAACTCAAGTGGTCTTCAATATGGAACTGAGTCCAACCCGGGTTGCACTGACACGAGAACCCAAAACTGCTGTTCTCAGACACCTTACAAGATCCCTTTCCACAATACACGGCGTTGCACAGCCCATCTGATACATAAATTAAACAATTATAATTCCATACACTAATCATTTATCATAACCAATCACTTGAAATCAACTAATATTGTATAAAGGGATTGATGCCATGGAAGAATTAGAGGAACAGAAAAGAAACCCTATTCAGCAATCCATTAGGGCTCTTTTTTTGTTAAAATCCATCATTTGATTGTATAAGTTACACAAAACCTTATGAAAACTCTAATGGAAGTGAGGATGTGTACTTCACACTGGTTATCGATGAAAAGAAAATCTCAACTCCTCACACATAGTATTCATCTACAATCGACCAAATGAAGTCTCAGCGGAGAAGAAAGAAGTGGAGGGAAGGAGAAGAGTTGAGAGCAGTACTTAGGACTGGAGAAAGTAATGGAGATAGAAAGTCTCCTGAAGCCCGGCATGGATGGTGGAGCAGAGCAATGGCTTGCAAGGCCAAGACATACACTGTGACTTCTGCCAAAACCATTTCTTTTTCTTTTGTTTTTCTTTGTTTTTCTTTGTTTTTCTTGAGAGAGAGAGAGAGAGAGAGAGCCAAAGTGTTTGGGAGCTGCGATTTATGGGTGCGGAAAGTATTTATTACGTTTGTTGACTGTGAGGGGGAAGTTGGATGGACTAGTGGGAGTTACGATGTGACCGGAGCGCTATTTGATTACTAATACGTACTTAATTTTGTTTAATTTTGTGTGAATATCATCCCAATAATCTTTCAATAATTTATATATTGGAAGTTATTGATAATTTATTAAAGGTATTAGCTTCAATAACATCTCAATAATCTCACAGTAACCCCACAGTTCGGAGCTCATCTTTTTTCTGTCATTTGAGTGTTTTGTGAGATTTTTTGGGTATTAACGACATAACCTTTCAATACCCCCGAATAACCGTCATACGCATGCAATTATGCATATGTATAACGTATGTAAATATTTTTCCAAGGCATTTTTAGTTTATCATGAAGAAATATTGATAAATTATATTTATTTAAAATATAATTGTGCATAATTTAAAAAAAATTATTCCAGATAGCCAAAGATATTTGATATCCGCCTGATGGAAGGAGAATTTGGATCTTTGAAAATGGAGAACTGAGGAGCGTTAGAGTTGGCAAAGCATTGATTCCATATGAAAAAGATGTTCTGGGATCAGAAAACTAGACAAAGAAAGTATCATGAGAAATGGGGTATTTACAAACATACCTCCCAATTCATATGTATTTGCATTTCTAACGCCTACATTTTGCTTTTCTTACATTAATGCCATCTAAATATTTTAACGATAGTGCTGAAAGATTCGCAGCGCTAAAGTAATGAATTAATGTCTCACACTCATATAAGAGAAATCATGCGAGAGAAGACATCTTGATTTATACACAAAATGAAAAAGGAAAAAGAAGTCTAATGCAAAAATAGTCACATGTTCTGTCAATTTTTGCCATGGGCAGACAAAGCTGGCATAATAAGCAAAATTGGCAGGATAACCGCCAGCTTTATCGATTTTAAAGTATTTACTTTCTTAATCTCAAAGGCTCATAGGATGAGCTCATCCATGGGCTGATTAGCTGACTGATTAGGATGGTTAGTTAGGGGTCTAGTGTGCACACAAATCTCAATCAATTTTGAATATTATTTTTTTTATTATTTAAAATTAAGATTAGCTGACTGATTATAACCAATTTATAATCAACCAATGATGACAAAATTGTAAAAATATTACAAGTTATCATGAAAATCACATGAGAATAAATATGATATAAATCAAATTTATTCTTGACATTCAACATTAATACTTTGGGCAGCCTGTTTGGGGCAGCTACAGCTTATTGAATAATCTGCTGATGAACTGATTAAAAATAATCTGCTGATAAGCTAGAAGCGGTGGCTATTATAAATTTTTATTTTTTTTTGGTAAAATCAGACAGCTGTCAGAAAGCTGCCACTGCATCTAAAAACATTCGGTGTGAAAATGTTGTTTTCAGTGTTTTGAAAACACATAAGCTACCAAAACACAATTTAAACAAACATGCTAGGTGTGTTTTCAAATCGCCACCGCACCAAATAAGCTGCCCCAAACAGACCCTTAAGAGTAAAAAAACTCAAATAAAATAATTTAAACATGGAAATTTACGTAATTAGCACATCATTCTTATGTATTGACATATCTCATATCTAAAATCTTATATTCACACATATTACACTTTGGTGTTTAGAACCTATGCATAAAAATGTATATTTAGCTCTGAAAATGTAGTAATAATGTATTTTTTTTTTCTTACTTGATATTGTGTGTGTGAATATCTAATTTTAGACGTGAGATGTGTAAATATATAAGAATTGTGTATGTAAAGTCCCAACTAATATATTTTAACTCTAAATTTCAAATTAATTTCAACATAAAAGTTAAATAAAGTTGCAATTGTTCCAATAAAGTTGACGAATTTATTCTCATGTATTTACATATTTAACACTTCAAATTTTATATTTACATACATAACATTCTAATCTTTAATATCATTAATACTAAACTTTTTAAAGGTGAGGTATATCTTTTCATGAATATGTTCATGATACCAAGGAATCATAAATATAAATATGAAATTTTAAGTATTAGATATGTAAATACAAATAATTATGTGATGTGTCACTCAATTCATATGCATTTAAATAGGAAATTTTTTATTGGAGAGGGGTGGTGGTTGGAACTGAAATTCGTGTTAAATGAATGCTGATTTAATGCAACGTTGCCTTATTTTCTTGGTCAAACATCTAAAAGTAATTGAGTCCTCGGAAGTTGATTTGGGAATAAATTTAAAATTGAAGGTTTTGAGATTGACTTTTTGAGTTAAATTTGTATGTAGCATAAAATAATATTTTAACTAAACAAAATGACTGATGAAAACATTGATTCATGTCAACGGTATTCTTGTGTTGGAAGATTCGCAGAAATATAGTGATAAATTAGCTTCTTAATTTTGGATCAAGATCCGAGACACACATAGATAAAAGAGAAGTAAATAGGAAGAGAAACCTCTGTTTTTTAAGTAAAAAATCCTAAAAAGGAAAAATAAATTAGAGTTTCGCCCAGTTGAAACACTCCACTATGTAATTGTGAGTATATGGGCTCACTCTTCTCTTGAATTAGAGAAGATGAGATTACTATGTTGATTTACAATGGTAGTTCAACCATATTAGTTTCTAACATGACGCAAATGTCATTGTTTATTGCTATGAAAGCAGTAATCCGCTTTGAATGTTGTAGATGGTAGTTGTCGCGCCGGCTGGTTTAGTTGAAAGTCGTGGCAGTAGTTGGTCATGTAGGATATAGATGGTTGCTTCAAGAGCGTCAGTTGGGCACAAAAGTCGTAATAAGGAGTTGCAAGAGCTGTGAATCACGTGGGTCGTAGTTGATCATATAGTCATAGAGAGGAGTTGCAATAATGTCCTAAGTCATAGAGGTTATAGTTGGGAGCTGTACGAGTTGTGAACTATGTAGGTCGTAGTGGTGAATTATAATAATGTTCATTGGTCACATAGACAAGATTTAGGAGCTGGGTGAGCCCGTAGCAGTGGGCTGTAACAATGTCTATAGGCTACGAAGGCCAGAGTTGGGAGCTACTTGAGATGTGAACTACATAAGATATAGTTGGTCAGGTAGATTGTAGCGGTGAGCCGTAATAACGTGCATTGACCACAGAGTCCAGAGTTAAGAGCTGTGTGAGCCATGGACCATGTAGGGCATAATGGTGAGCTGTAATAACATACTTAGACTATATAGGCCAGAGTTAGGAGCTGCGTGAGTTGTGGACCACAAAAGTCATAGTTGTTCACGCAAGTTGCAATGGGGAGTTGAGAAGAGAAGACTTCAACAGTCAGGAGAAAATCACTGTATTCTAAGTATGATGGGAGTCTCCTTTTCTTTCCCGAGTTAAGGAGGTTTTTCGACTGTTGGGTGCCAGCCCTTCTTCTCAGGTATGTCGCTCTCAACCTCGAGCCAGTGCCTCTCGAATGGCATCCAACATCTGATCATTCAACTCATGGATCTGCTGGTTTATAAACTCTCTCGTGCAATCCATATTACCAGTGTCTCTTTTATGGGTTTAATCTTCATGTGTTGTTCCTCTTCTGTCCTGTGACATGATTCATGCATATCCTATATTTTAGGATGTTGAATCCTGATTTGTCTGTGAATCACACATCAAAGAATATAGTGTAAGAAATGAAAGAGAGAGAGAGAAGTGAATAAAAATGAACAATAATACATCATGTCAATATTTTTTAATCTCTTGAGCCTGAAGTTTGATAACTTTATACGTGCAATAATCTTTCTATTTATAATGGAAATGATACAATATAGTAATATTACATTTTTATCCATGCTTTAATGGGGGTTGCACAAGATATTCTATGTATTATATATATATGAACCTATTGTTCATCTGCTCTCTTGCTCGACTGACTATGCTAGTATGACTTCGGCTTGGTAAGTCCAATCCAGTCGACTAGGCTGAGTGGCACTGTTGATCGTCTGAGCTCGTATGACTTTGACTCGGTAAGGTCAATCTGGTTGACTAGGATGAGTTAATGTTGTTGCTTGACTAATCTCGATTGGCTTCAAGGAAACAATATTTATTTGAATAGGACTTTGTCAATTGGTTTATCTAGTATAGTTGTATGCCTACCTTTGATCCCAAAATGAGGAGTTCCTATTAACAGAGCGAGACCAAGCTATAGAGCATACAATGAATCACCATAACCCAATAGGTAGCTCGTTCCTCAACGAGGAGAGCCTGTGGAATGATTATGAGACTGATGTATTTTCAATTATTGGTCCCTCATGAGGAGCCTCATTGGTGTTCGTAGGATGAATAGTGATATTGAGGAACTGGGTCTGTTCTCGGGTTTGATCTACCGATAGGTAGGTTGATGCATTCTGTTGACCATTATGTAGTTGATAGCTCTGATGCTTTTCCTTCTTGATTTAGTTTGATTGATTCAGATTAAGATCATTCAATCATTTTTTTTGTACTTCTTATGGCTCCTTCAGCTTTCAACTTTGACTCGGATGGCTAAATCTAATTGGATAAATGAGCCTCCTGATTTTCTATCAATGGTCCCTCCTTTGAATTATTTTTTTCTCCTTACCAACCTTTAGATCTCCCCGAGATCCGCGCTTACACATTTGTTGTGATATATACACCAGTTGATGTGGTATATATATAAATCAAACAGGAGAACAATCGATGAAGCAAAAAAATAGAACGAGAAAAATCACACCAGAAAAAAATACACAGATTTACATGGTTCGACAAATTGCCTACGTCCACGGAGTTGCAGAGGATTTTACTACTTGAAGAATTCACACCTGTCGATCACCTCGACTTACAAGAGGAATTTCACAATTCGTTGCTCTTTTTTCTTCTATCTCTTTTCTTCTCTCTCTACACTAAGATACACTGAAGAAACTTTACATCGAGATACAGTGAAGAAGATAAACTTACAAGAGAAATAAAACAAATTTCTATTCTGCCACAAGCC